GCTGCTTTTTTCCCTGGATCTTGCTCCCTATGGGCTTATGCTCTAAGTGTTGAGTTCTCGCCTTTTCCTTCTTCCACTTTTTTCTGAGGTTCTCCCTGTGCTGTGACTTTTTTCATCGTGCTTTGCACGAATGTGTACCAGTCTACATGTAAGTATCTTCTGAATGTCTCCTCTTGTCAAATTGCTCTAAAGGAGCCATTCATACCTTTTTCTTAAACATGTGAACCTTCTGTTTTCCTAGTCTTTTAAAAATTATTTTAATTTTCATACTTGTATCACAGATAATTATTGAGAGCAAAAGGAGATGGGCTGGTGACCAGAGTAATGTATTTACCTAAGTAACGAGGAAAGTAGAAGTTTAAGGAGGTCCAAGCTGCTAGAAAAACAAAGTCTCCCCATTTAAATTGCTATCGCATGTTTGTGCCATCTGTACTGCAGATGCTACCATATAAATTTGGCTTTCTCTGGGAGACATTAGGCTTTCCATGTGGTGGAGACAGCTGTTGAGATAGAAAGAAATGTCTGGATCTGCGTAGGAATCGTATTATTGTAGCCATGGATGGGATGGGATGACGAGGCATCCACATTTTGAGCCATCTTTATTGTATGAGGGTAGTCGCTTCTATCCATGCAATCATGCTCTTGCTATGTAATGGAGTGCTAAAGTAATTAAAATATTGTGGTTAACTTGCACTATCAAATTAAAAATGAATCAGAAATGTTTTGCTTGTGGTCTGATATCACTCATGAAGTGATGTAATATAGGGTACAGAAAGCCTGAGGTTAAAGCTGATAATGTAAATTTAATTTTCCCCCTTTTTTGTGTCATGGTCATCTTATCTGATGTGATTTTGTGCTTCTGTAAGTGATACAGAATGTAGTTTGAATACTAATAAACATAATTTAAGTAAATGAGAACTCTGGTTGTGAAAATCAGGCTCTTAATGAGAAGGCACTTTTTAGATTTTTTTTTTTTAAAAAAGCAATCAAAGACAGCTTGTTATTCCATCTACCTATCTAGCTGTTTACGTTGATCAGCTACAAGTTTGATTGTTCTTATTATGGCATAACACAAAAGAAATTGTGTTTATAAGCAATTAATTAAAAAAGGTAGAAGTGCCCAAAACATCAAAGAATACAGAAACATGTGATACAAATTAAAATTTTGCTGCAGAAATAGATCTTGAAAATTTTGTAATTATGTTGACTAAATTTTATTATTACTTGCCCCATGAAATCATGGAGAACAATCCTTTACAGTCCTTACTCTAATCAAAATCTATGGAAAATGGCATTTGGAAAAAGCATTATCAGGGCTCCTGAGTTTTCAAATGAGTAAATAGTAAATTCTGTTTAAAAAAAAAAAAAAGGCAAAAAAAAAAAAACATTTCATAGATTATATGCCACGTAACTCAGTTCAGCAAGCAGCGCAGTGTTTAAGAACGTTAGAAAATTGCATGGGCTGATGGTAAAAAGCAAACAAATCCCACAACTATATTTGATACTTGACAGGAAAGCTGAATTTGATCCATGGGGGAATGTGCTTCTGTATAGGGCTCGTATGTGGGCATTATGTTATTTTGACTGTATTTTGTATGTTTTTGAACTTTGAAGGCTTTATTAGTTGGCAGGACAGGCTTAAAGAGGGGTTATATTGCAAACTTTGATTACAGTATTATTGTATTTCATTTTTTTAAAAAAATTTTAACAGATATTCAGGACAGTCGATTCTCACCCTGTCTTCCACTGCTGATGACATACTCAACACAAGGTCAAAAAATTTTAGGCGATACCCTTTTCCAGCAATCTGAAGTGGATTTTATTCCTTTAAGGTAGGATAAAATTGCCTATGTCATGACATAACTTCCACTTCCTTCCTGAATGACTTTTTTTAAACTCTGATTATTTAAATAATTTATGAATATACAAAAATAGCATAAAGTTGTATTATTTTTTAAAGTGAAGGCTTTGTCAGAGTTCTGCTAGTCATTTTATTTTACCTTCAAAAGGATTTGAACAAGGGAAAACAGACATTCTGTTCAAGGGAAAACATTCTTCTGAATGTCATTTATAGCTGAGGAAAAAGGAAGATGGGGAACTCCACCCTCCTATACATGCATATAAAAATACGTTATATATATACAGAATATAGACTAGTATCTATTATATAGTGGAAAATACGAATGCATAAACTGCTACTTCACTAAACATATTTGTCCATACCTTCCTTCCTTGTGCAAAGGAGGCAAGAAATTCTCTGCCCCTTATTGTCAAGTAATATTATATGGAATGATCATCAAAATAAAATCAGACAATAATTTAAAAAGTCACAACAACAAAAAAATGGAAGCGTGTAGGAATATATTCATTGAACTTTTGTCTTCAACTGAGACCTGGTTTGTTTTGTGACTTTTAAGCAAATAGCAGATACACTATGGCATGGGTGATTTTGAAGAAAAACCAAACACATCTACTTTTATATGTGTGCGTGTAAGCAACTTCTGTATTTTCTTTGCATATTGCCTCTTTTGCATTTATTTAATAAATATCTGAATTAAAAATGCTTCAATCCTGAATTGAATTGTTTTTAAAAAAATTAACATACTAAGTAGAAATAAGTATTCGTTTCAGACCTTTATTTTATAGAATAGGAGTACTTTTTGATGTTCTTTGGTCTTCATTTAAAGACTTTAAATATTTTTGGCCTACTTACGGGGTATATTTATGCATTTTACACCATAGTAGTTTGTCTGGGTAAAGTTTTTTTTGTGTGTGTTTTCTATTTAGGCAGTAAACATGGTGGTTAAAATCAAAATATCTTTGGAAGTTCACTTACTTTTCTTGCCTTTTCTAGAGGAATTCCTGATGTTTCTAGTGCTTCTGAGGTACATTCGAAGCCTTTGCAGACCCATGAAGCTCTATGGCTGACAGACCCAGAAATACCTTCTGATGCTCCCAGCGACTGCCTTACTTTGTCTCAGTATCCTCTTCTGTACAGAAGTGCAGATCCTGGGGATGTCAGTCTTGGTGGTAATTTGTCTCATCAGATTTCTTTTTCTGGACCACTACCTGTGGACAAGAAGACAAATGAAGACTGTAAAAGTGATATTAGTGAGAAGGAATCGGTCCGTCAAACAGGTGACAGTATAGCACACTCACCCTCAAGTAAAACACTAACCAGGGCACATGAACTGAAGCAGACTGAAGTTTCTCCTGCAATGCTGCCCTATAATTCTTCTGTGAAAGATGAAGGTTTCTCTCTCATCAGTAATGTACCAGCTTTTGTTCTGGAGCTTTCAGAGAAAGAAGAAAGGTTATCGAGACACGAGGAGTTCTCCTCATCTTCAGAAAACTCTTGTAAAACTGAGTTGTTGCAGACCTTGGAAAAATGCGAAATAGCGATGCAAACGGAAAAGGTAAAAATGGCAGAGAGTGAGTCAGAAGGGTGGGTAAGACAGACAGAGAAGCTGGAAAAGGAAAGGAAAGTTCCTGAGCTTGGCTCCTCTAATTCGTTACCCGATGATTTAAGAAAAGACAATCACAAAAATTTGGAAAAACAAGATATATTTTCGGCAAAGAATTCTGAAACATCCAGGCTGTCAAGGGAACCTGGTGTGGATTTGAATGAATCAGGAAGCCTGAGGTTAAAGGAACTCCAGGGAGCTTTTGTACCTCACCAGAAACAACCAGGTTCTGCAATGATGTTGGAGAAGGAAGAATTTATCCCTACTGTGTCAGCTACCAGCGACTGTGCATCTAAACAACTAGATATTACCACTGTGAAAGCTCCATCTCCAGGCGGTGAGAAGGAGAGTGCATCAGTAGAAGTAGAACCTGGAGGAAGCAGGACTGAATTAACCATATCAGATCTTTCTATAGAAAGGGGACATAAAATTACAGGTATTTCTCCTTCATTTAACCTCCTTGTAGGTGATGGCTCGTTCTCTGGAAACTTGGCTCATCCAAAATATCAATCTACACCAGGGTTACTTGCAAGCAAAAATCTTAAGGCAGATGAACTAAGTAAAACCATTCCGAACAAATCAAATATTCAAGTGTCACTTGCATGTTTAAATGAAGAACCTGTAGGGAGCTCATCTACTAGTTCACCTACTTCTTCTGTTGAGCAGCACCATTCACTCCAGCGTGACTGGGTAGAAAACAATGACCAGTCTGAGCCATTAAAATTGAAATATCCCCATACTGGAAGAATCCAATCTCTCCCATCCCTTAGCTTCATGGAGAAGGTAGGGGCTTGGAATGTGAGCCAGATGGAGAAGATGTCCAGTTCACTGGCTTTATGTGACGCAAGTGGAAGTTCTCCTCGAAGGAAAGCCTACAGTGCAATTGCCAGTTCTTCAAACCACATTTTATCAATGCGAAATAGCAGTGGAGATCCCAAGGATTATGTTGCTGCTTCCACTGGAGAGACGGTGTCATTGGCAAATTTGCTTTTTCATAATGAAAGCGCAGTGCCCACCCGCTCGCTTACCGGATCTCAGCCTGACACCTCAGTGAGCGTCACCTGTAGGGACCCCTCTCTGATGCAAGTTGTTCAGCCAGCAAACTCGACCCAGGCAATGCAAACGCTGGAAGAAAAAAGTGCTGTTTTAGGAGTGCCTGAAACTAAAGAAAGCAGTAATAGTTCCCTGGACTCCGTGTTACAGAAGTTTACCGCCAAGCTTGTTGTCACTGGGTCTAGTGATGAAGATGCTGAGAGTAACAATACAGAACAAAGTTCAGACCCACATTTCATCATTTCTAGAGAAAAAATTGATCAACTTAGAAAGGTTGGAAACTCTCCAGCTGATGGCGAAGAGAGTTGTGGGGGCCTTGAAAACCAAAGACAATCTCCTAATCTAGGTGTTACTCCTGGCCATGTCACTATGGACCATTTCAGTGATATATCCCCAGACAGTTTGAATCTTCTTGCTAGTTCTGGGGGAAGCAGCCAGGTGGACTTGGGCCCTTCTCTGGTTTCTAGGCACTTCTTCGGTGCCGAAGAGGATAACTTCATCCCCTTTCAACTAACCCCTTTGAAAACTCCAGAAAAACAAGAGCTAAATATTGAAGAAAGGATCCCAGTAAGTTGTTTTTAATGATTATTATTTAACTTTGATTATGAAAAGATTGGAGTATACTTGTGTGTGTAATACCAAGTAGGACAGAGGTATAGAATTATAACAGGAATGGTTCTCCAGGCCAGAAGACTAGCCTGCTTTTAGCTAGTTTCTGGTATCCAATCATGTAGGGAACCTGTCATGCAATAAGTGCTCTGTTAGAGAAATTAGTTAACATAGATGCTTTATGTAATGGAGCCTAAGAAATCTTAGAGAGCCCTTTATAATAATACTCAACACAGGTAAAGCAAGGGTTGGATCTGGAGATATCTGCCATTGCCCAGGTGTTGCAATAGAGAGGTGTGAAGAGAAATCTGAAGAGTGGTGGCTGATGATGCAGAACATAAAGGGCAAAAGAAAAGAATGGGACATAGCGATGAAAGTGTAATCTTTATACAAAGACTAGTAAATTAGATGCATGACATTTTGTTACTGTATTGATAAGTCATTTCTGACCTTCTAGGCTCTTTCAAAGGATCAGGTTATAATTTCCCAAACATGTGGTTGAGACTCAAATGCTGACTAAGGAAATGTTAGACTGCAGAAAAGGGCTGAACTTCACACGCCCACGGCTCTTCAATAATAGCAAAGCCAACACAGAACTTCCTGGCAAATGAAATCACCCTTTTTTGCTATAAATATTCCTTTTTGCTTGTTCACTTTGTTCTAGTATCTAAGGCATACATTCCTGGTTCATTATATGTTGCTCATAAGGAATGTTAGAATCCTCTGCATATCTTTTCCATTACATCATATTTGGCTAATGCAGCTTTAATTCATCCCTTCCCCATTTTAGGGTAGTTGGTGAGAATAGAGGGCAGATCGTGGCAGCTGTGTTAAGTCTAATAATAACTATTGAGTGCTAGAGAAAATTAAATGCAGATTTATGTTGATAAACATGCAATTATATTGAGAATAAATAGCTCTTCCTCTTGCAGAATGACTCTTACAATCATTAGGTGTCTGGAGCTAGGTTTTAGAAGCATTCTTCTGTAAAGTTGTCTCTGAAAATATGTATTAAAACAAATATTTTAGGGAGGAAGTCCTATATGAAATTTTATTTTATTTATTTTTTTGATTTTAGAGCATAGTACAGACGAGTTAAAACTAACTTATCCCTGGAATTGATCAAGTAAAGGTAAATTTGCCTGGCCACTTACAATGTGTGTATGCAGACCTGGTTGGGCAAAGGGAATACAGTGATTTCACAAGAGATCTTGGGGGCTTTTGCCTCCAAATGACTGCTCCAGCTTTCAAATTACATTTAGGCAGTGTATGATACTGTCTGAACTAACCGCCTTGTGCATGTTGCACAGAGATGGTTTCACTTTCATTTTTGTTAATGCATTTTGCAGAATCTTTCCGTGTGAATTTTTGTTAGGCTGCTTTAAACTAGTTGGTTTGTTTAATGTTAATGAAAAACTAGATCTGGATAGTGTTTGTAGATGTTTATATGCTGCTCCAACAAGTGCTCATACACATTTATTCTATGTTTGCTGTCTTAAAGGAAAAGGCATGAATTTTATGCCTTTTAAAAAAATATGAAATGATTTACTGCTTTAGCTATGCTTGTAAGCCTAGGCCTTAACTGAGCATAGAGTTTGTTTGCTTGGGGGTCCTAGGAGTTATAGATGTACAGATGTACTGTGAAGTTGACAGCATCCAGAAATGGATCCAGTATCCAAATCCAGTATCATAACCAGGGAGTTATTGAGTAACTGCTGCAGTAAAATAAAGCTGCTAATAATTTTTATTAACCAGCTGATTTTTCTTGTAAAAGTTTAAATAGAGGAGACTTACTCTGTCTCTTGGCCAATACAGATTTATTCCCTGTAGTGATGTTGCAGAAAGCTGCTTCACATGGTTGTTTTATGTCTACTAGCTTTGATGTTATATAGGAAAAACTTCTTAACCAAAGCTCTGTCTTCTATCTGTTAAATGAACCTTTCCCGCCTGCTTTGAAGTATCATGTTTGTTTTTCACTTGTGCAGTGTATAGAATATGTGTATGAGTAAAAAAGCTATCAGTTGTCACAAGAATAAGTTATGTGGCCCTCTTTTGCTGGCCTTTTCTCCAATTTCAGGGTCCTATGGGAAGAACAAGGCACTGGATTAACTGTTTTGTTGGTAGCAGACTGTTGCCAATTGTTTTGGCCCCTAATGAGGGAAAAGTCATGACAAGAAACAGAGAAATGGTTGGTCAGGTTCTTGCAGTTTATTTCTGAATTGCTTCCAGATACACAATAATGAGGACTAGGTTGCAGGATGTGTGAGTTGTCCTGTTGGGCTGCATGTGACTGGTAAGATGGTGGTTCGGCGGGCCTGTTTTAGTGATTTTTAACTGACAAGGCCTGTTGCTTGTGCTTCAAAGCAGGCAAGACGTTGCAAGTGGCGTGTGACACGTGATTAGTGTTTTGTGTTAAGTATTGGTGCAAGTTGAACGTGATTTAGGCTCAAGATGTTGCTTTAGAACAAGCCGTGTGTGTGTTAGGCTGATGGGGAGAGCGTCTGTAACTTCCGAATGTACTGACTTTCTGTTTCTTGACACGTTTTTCCTCACATTTTTCCTGCTACTTTTCCTCTCTTGTCAGGTATATCTTCGCAATCTTGGCATCGACCAGTCCCCTGGATCTATACTGACTCCGTTTGTGCCCCAAGGACCCATCAGGGAAGTGGAATTTTCCCCTTCAGAGCTTCGAACACTGAAGGACTCCTGTGACTCGCTTAGGAGGACAGCTCAGCGGCTGCAAGGTATGTGCAGCCTTAGAGGATCCAGATGCAGAGATGCCTCCATGAGGTTGCTCCTGGCTTGCAGTGTCTGGTGTGCTTTTCCTGTGGTGCTCTTTCATTCATGTGGTTCAACTTTGTCCATTCTGTGATATGAGATCTCATATGTCTGAGATATTTGGCACTGGATAAGTAAGGATCAAAACCTTTGATAAGAGGCCTCCTCATTTAGGACTCAGGGTTATATGATGATTCTAGTCCGTGCAGTGGCAGTTGTTCTTATTTATTAATTTTATTTTTAAATTTCAATTTTTAAAGTCTATTTTTTATTCCTTTATTTTTTTTCCTTAAGAGAGTTCCAGAAAAACATTTCTGTCTGTCTGTCCGTCTGTCTGTCTTTCATCTAAAGGTTAAGGAAATGCTACCAGATTCTGTCCTGTAGTGAGAGCAGTAAGTCATAGCACACTTCATAACTGACCAAATCAGTTCATTAGTCAGTTAAACTCAATATTAAGTTATTTTATGCAAAGAACTGTATGTGCTCAGATAGGGTTAAGATATGCATCAGTGGTATGCCTATGCAGTATGTCTACTATATTAAAACATGCATTGTAATATGCTTAAAAATCGGCCTGTGCCTTAGCAGATGTTGCCCTCTTTTGTTTTGGCATTTGCATCTTGTACCCCACACAGGAGAGCTAATCTGAAGGGTTTTCACAGTGAATACCTGTCTTATTCCTGAATGGCTGTGAGTCTCAGGAAAACTGTGCCGACCTTTCTTTCTGACCAGCAGTGATTAAATATGTCTTTCTCATGTCCATCAGGCTTTCTTGCTTGTGTACAGGTGTATTTTTCTATATATTTTTATTTTTATCTTTTTCTTTCTGCTGCATCATGGAAAACATCATGGAATCATCATGGAATATGCATCATGGAATACTCGGCCGAGGAGACAACTTGGCACGCAGTGCAGGGACAGTTTTCCTCAGTAGAGATACTATTCAGCTGGTCTGTGTGGTGTATTTAAGAAGTCAGTGGTTAGAACATGAAATGAAATTGTTTGAAACGGAGAATAACTGTTGTCAGGCATACTTGGGACTTCTCTCTTGACTGTTGTTAGTACCTGTCAGTACATTTTTAAGAATAACATTGGTGCATAAGTACTTTTTTGGAAAGCAATTTCTCCCCCGCCTTTACAACCTCTGTCGTCTTTATTGAAGCGGATATTTTTCAAATCTCCAAACCTAATGAATCTTCTGTTTCTTTGTAGATGAATTGCTGGCTGCAGTTGACACTACACAAAAAAGCTTTAACTCTGGCACTTATACTCTCAATATGTCTATGTCAATGGATTCAGAAATTGGCTGTGATGGTCGCTTACCCAGTGAGCTCTCTCCTTGCTTCTCAAGATCTTCTGGAGACAGACCAGTGAGTCAGTGCAGTGTTTCATGCCACCAACAGGAGCTAACTGCCTCCCAGTGTGTTGTAAGCAGGGCAGAATATTTGGCTGTCTCCAAACTGGCTGATCCAAATCAGCAGCTGCAGGTGGTCGCACCTGACTGCTGTTCTCATGCAGAGACTGCAAAACGTGTTCAAAATCTGGTGGCTAAAAATAAGGCAAAAGATGCAGATAGCAGCCTACAGAGGTGGCCTGCAGGTTCTTTGTCTGGAGCTAGAAGAGAAATGGAAGTTGAGATAGGATCACAGCCTTCAAGTGTAGGTACTTCTGATAACGAGAGGAACAAGGATCAAGAAAGTGATTCCTTGATTGGATCTGATACTTTAAAAGAAATCCGCAAGCTTTTAGCAGAGGCAGAGGATATAGCTGGCAGCTGGTGCAACCCTGTCATTTCCAGTGCCTCTTCTAGAGAAACTGTTGACTCTTCTCCAGCGCTAAGTAAAAAGGAGGATGGCCTCAAAGGTTTCAGGGTAGTGAAAGACAACGGCCCAGAGTTTCGAAGGATTTCATCGTGGGATGAAGCTCTGACTCGAAGACGTTTGCAAGAAGAGGGGTCAACTGTAAAGTGCCTGAATTCTTACCAAGGCAGTATGAGATGGGGAAGTTCTCTTGATGTCGATCTACACAGCAGTGAAGAGGTGGTGAAAGAGATGACCAAAGAGTTTAAGACCAGAAAATCTGTAGGAAGGTCTGAGCCAGAAGGCTGCAGCAGTGCAACTACAGACAGAAATGCACCTGCTTTTGTGCCTGTTGCACACAGTAATGCAAGTAGTGAACTGAGCAGTGGAAAAACTTCAGAGCTCCTGAATCCTTCCCCAGCAGAGCCTCTAGGCTGTGTCACAGATGCCCTGGGAAGCTTCCCGAGTGCCTTGGCTAAAGCTAGTGTTGGCAGCAAGGTGGGAGGAATTCAAGAGAGTGATAACAGTAGCAGTGGAGATTCACTGGCTGCCCGTGTCAAAAACCTTCTCCGAACTGGATCGCCTGTGGCACATGCAAAACAAATTTTGAGAAGTGTGGAGGAAGAGGAGAGGAAAGCACGAGGTAATATGTTTCAGGTTATTTTAAAAATGCTAAATCTTGATTAGTGTATACGTTTTAGAGAGAGCTTTAAGATATTTTTGAAGTAAAAGGAAATTCTAGGTCATTTGATTCTGTTCCCCCAGATTTTAAGCATATTTTTATCATGATATTGATAAGCTTTAATGGAGCTCAGTAAAAATAACTGGAACTCCAGTCTTGCATGGGAGCCTATTCTAGACCTTTAATGCTTAGAAACCCCTTCTAGTTTTCAGTCTCAGAGTGATTTTGCACCTATTTGTCCCTTTGTTAACATTGTGCTTTGGGAAATATCTCGTCATCTTTGTGCTACTCCTCTATTATCCTCCTGTCTACTCATAGCTTTGAAAAGAGCCAGTTGTATCTTAATCTTTGTAAGGCGTAAGTGATCAATGTCTTTTAAATGTCTTAAGTAGCATATTAGAATGAGATATAACTGCTGTACTTTCCCACTTTGGGTACCTTTTTGCCTAATATATCAAAATGATATGAAAAAGCACTGTGCAAAGCATAGCTTGTCCACACATTTGTTAAAAATGTGCTAGGTTAAGGAATTGGGGAGGGGATTGTGTGAAAGAGTATTGACATGAATCAGAGACCATAAGGATGACTGTCAGAACCAGGCAATGGGTTCTGGATTTATCTTTCCAAAGAAATGTTCGAAAAAACAAATTCGAATCATATTCTTGGTCACCCAGCTCTGGTATTTGACAGTGGACAGACTTTGTCCTCAGTCATGGTAGTTAGAAATGCATTGCATAATGTTGGTTTTAAGTAATAAAACTGCCACGTATGATTCAAGAAAATGAATAGAACTGCTATGTGTTTTGTTTTCTCTTTGTATAGCCTGGGTGAAGCTGAAACTGGCCAGCCGCTCTCTGGAGTCTGTGGCAGACCTGAATGAAGAGGACCGACGAAGGATAGAGGAGATCAAGGCCGAGCTGCTGCTGAGTGCCAAGAAAGCTGGAGCAGGCAAGGTACAGACATCACAGAGCAGCCTCTCTGGGGACATTTCTTTTAAATGGCAGCTTTTCCCCGCTCCCATACAGCAGCTGGATGTAGTAGAAGAGAGACGTGGTCAGAGAGGGAGAACTACGGATACTCTGAAGGAATGAGGGAGAGATGTGGTCAGTGGTGCGGGGGAGCTGGTGTTACTGTGACAGGAAGGTGCGCACAGGTTGCAGTTCCAGTAGGTTTGATGAGTTCTGCTTTTCAGAACACACTTGTGCAGGTGATGTTTGTCTTGTAAACTTCTCATCCCATGGAGGAGGATATTATACAAGGCAATACAATTGTTTAAGTGATAGCAGCCTTTGTTGTATTACTTCCCATGTGTTTTGAAGTGTTTAAGAAATGCGATGTTTGGATGAAAAAGGATACTTTTGGGAGAAAGGCAGTAAATTGCTCCTGCTTTGTGTTGATGATGTCAAAAGTAGTGGGCCTAAAGGGCAAAAAAAAGATGCTATTAGAAAATAAATGCTTCCTCAGTTAGGATGAGGAGAGCAGACAGGCTAGGAAGATTATGATGTGTTAATCATAGTATGCTTTTGAGAACAGGTAAGGTAAGTATCTGTAAATAATGTAAGCACAATTAATGCTGAGCTGGGGCAGGGATAGAGAATTAGATGAGCTTTTTTCTTACAACCTTATTTTTATGAAAATTTGCCATTATCCGTGTCATGCGTTGTGAAAATTATTTGGAACAGTTCCAGTTCATACATTAATTTATGTTGATGGGAATTTGTGTAAACTGGAATATATTTAAATACCCATTTTCTGCATTTATTTGAGTTTCAGGCTTCTCATATCATGCTTTTTAGTGGCTGTCCATGTGTCCTAAGATAAAGCACTCCTCATAGAGAATATTTTGAGCAAAAGACACAGACTGGAAGAAATGTGGAGATATTTTTATGAGAAGATGCAATGGATGGGTGGTGAATTCATACCATGAGGTAGAGAATCCTGAGATGGTAGAAGAGAGACTTGATAATTAAGCAGACTTTAGGTTGGGGCAGTTTCTGAGTATGGAAACTTTATGTTTTAAAATGCAATCATAATCTGTCCTTGGTCTGGTGTTTCAGACAAATGATTTTAGCATTCACAGTATCTCCTGCTTTTTCAGTAGATTGGCTGCCTCTTGGCAAAACCGGTAAAAAAAAGTCTTTCATCAGCTAGAAAAAAACAATTGTCTTAGAAGTAACCCCATTTGTGTTTACAGTTTATTAGGCCCTAGTTCAGACATCGGTTTTGGAAATACATCAAACCAAACCTTTGAGTTGTTCAGGTTTTAAGGTAATCTTCTATTTGGGGAGCCTAAAAAAATCAATTGAAGTTATTTATTTTTGGAGATTTAGACAAAGAATTCCTCTCACTTAACAAAGAAAAAAAGTACATCTTTGCTGCGATCTGCTTATCAAACTACAGGCTTTTTAATGTATTTTTTTCAACTTAGATTTTGTAGATTAGCTTGGTGTCCAATACTGATTTGATATGGACTAGGACCAAACAGTTTTACAATATACATTGATTTTGGGGGGAAGACAGAAAAAAAAAAAAAAAGGCAAAAAATTCAAACCCAAACTGCTCTTAGTGTTCATGCAAACAATTCTTTTGTAAGAACATCTTTGTTTACTGCTTCTGCTGCAGTCTCCTTATGAATGTCCTTTTTAGGAAGTTTAGGATTTGCCTCCCATTTTTATGGGTGAAAGCTGAAGATGTTACTATTTCCAGCAAGAAGTGGATGAGAGTTTTCTGTAAAAGAGTGAATACAATGAGGGAGCAGGACAGCTTGGGAGAATTCTTCTCAGGAATCTTACTTCTGAACACCGCTCCATTTCACTCCTTGGATAGTGGAGCGTTGTTTGGTATCTGCTACTTAAGAAACAGTTAATAATAAACATATTTTTAGAAAGTATTATTTCCCAAACTCCAGCTGATCAGAATGCTTAAAAATATGTTTGGGGCATATATATGTAATCATGCGTCAAGCATTTCTTGAAGTGCTGTGGCTGAATTGTGACTCCCCCAAAAGTAAAATTCAGTATGAAATCGGCATCCCATTTTGAAGATGTAGCCCAAAGAGCAAGTAATGCTTGTGGCTATGCCTTAAAATGAGCATTTTATTTTCTTTGTTTTCTGTAACAGCTAGCCAGTCTTGCACAGTGAGTTTGTTTTCTATGCATTTAATTTGGGGGGAGGGGGTCCCTTCTGATTCTTATACCTCTTCCATTACACAAAGGTGAGAAATATCCTACAAAAGCACAACTGTGTAAGCAATAAACACTAAAATGTGGCAGGGATGCTTAGGAATAAATAGTGAATATGTAACTTTTGACCTTTTTCTTCTAAATTGCCTCCATTTCCTGTCAACCCTTCCTAAAGGTCTTTACCTTCCTGGTATGGCAGGGAACAGGGCCCCCTGAGGAGCATTGCTCAGTATTATTCTTCTTTGCCTCTCTTGGTAGATAGACCTTTGAGTGGTGTCATTTTGGTTTTAGCAAAAATGAATGGTCAGATTAAACTAACAGCACCTCGGGCTGCATTGGGTTGAATTCGCTATTGCACATTGCTGTCGTACGTGGCTAGTGCTTGTACAACTGAGTTACATTTCAAAGGAGCAGGAGTCAAAGAGTATGGATTTATTAACTCTGCAAATCTTCGAAAAAGTGGCCTAAGAAGTGTTACATTACAGATTGCCAAGAGACAAGTCTTGTGAAGTTCAGGATTAGCTGATTGTACTTTCCTATAAACTTGCCTTTAGAATAGTGTTGTGGTAA